GGGGGGGGGGGGGGGGATTCGAGGCGAGGTGGAGGGAAACAAAAACGCAGGGCAACGAGGTGGTAAAAAACAAACAAGGGGTGCGTTCACACGAGGGTTAAAAATAAAATACATAAAAACGAGAGAGCTTGAGGAGAAGCACAACGCGCTACCTCACGACAGTCGCCACTTGAAAATGAGTGCGCCTGGAGCTCTTGCCACTTCGCCGGCGGTGGAATCCCGACCGCGGCGAAGAAAAATGCCGCCAAGGAATGGCGACCCAAACAACCTACCACAAATATTTCATTCGATCAGAGGGGAGCTCCGACGGTGAAGCGCGCAGCGAGGACCAATCGGGTTGTCGCGATTGGCAGTTTGTAACGGTCGTGCCCCCCCCCCCCCCACCTCAAAAGGTTCGCCCCACGCGTAGACGAAACAACACCGAAGCCTCCGCATTACATACCTTGTCGACACCCTTCTGATTCAACCTCCGCAAGACGGGCTGGTAGCACCACCCCAGCACCGCAGACACCCGCGGCCGCCCGGGCAACAACGCCCTACGCGCTAACCGAGCCGCCGCCAACGCCGACGCCACCATGCCCTAGCCCTTGCCTCGGCGGCGGCCCCGCCACCCGCACACCTCCCCCGATCAACGGCGGCGTGCTCAGGTCGGCGAGGTCTGCCGTCGTTCCCCCCCAGCTCCTCCGCCAGACCGCGTCGACGGCGGTTCCGGAGGGGGAGCGGCCGAACCTCGACGTCCATGTCGTCTTGACTGCTCCTGGTGCAGCCGCCGCCGCCACCGCCGCCGCTTTCGCTCCTGATTCGGCTCCGACCGCGCGGGAGGGTGTCACCTCCCCCGGTGCCGGTGCTGCGGGAGGCGTGGAAGTGGTCCAGCTCTGCGAGCGCGTCGAAAAACTGTGAGTGGCGTGATGGCGAGGGGGAGGGGGGCGGACAAGGCAAATTGTGAGAGGGGAGAAAGGCTCCATTTTGGACGTAAGGAGCTGTGAGATGAATGAAGACGGTTGTGTGGTGCTGGGGATACGGCGGTGGTCACAAGGTGGTTGAGAGCCACAGGCGACGCTCAGCTCGGCACGGGCACGGAATCTACGGATGCACGCTTTGGCGGGTTGAAGGCAAGGAATCTTACCTCAAACAAAGTTATCGTATACTAGCCTGATCGGATAGACGCATTGCACCCAGACACTTCGCGCTCCCAAAACTGTACAAGAACAAGAAAAAACGAGTAGAGAAGGCGAGCACCTCCCGCCACGATCCCCCAACAGGTGCCTATGTCCGCACCTCTTCGTCGGAGGTTGCAACCGATTCCTCCGCATCCTCCCGCATCCCTTCGGCAACGCCCGCGCTTCCGCCGCCGCCGCCGCCGCCGCCGCCGCCGCCCCACGCACTGCTCCAGAACCAGCCGACCGGCCCCCAAGTTGCAGCACGACCTCCGAACCAACCTCGATGTTCGCTCCCTTTGATCGCCACGTCCTCCTCGTGTTCGAGATGCTCCTGCTGCGGGGGCTCGGGCGGGGACAGCCGTGCCTGACTTCTCGCGGCAACGCCGACCTTTGCCGCTCCGCCGCCGCCGTCTTCGCCACCACCACCACCATTGCAGGCGGCGCCTCCGCCGGTTCCACCGCCGTTTCCACCGCTGCGGCTGCCGCCGCGGCTGCCTGCGGCATACAGCGCGTCGGCGAGCGAAGGCAGGTCTTCCTTTCTCCTGCCGGTGCCGCCGTACTCCGGCGACAGCTGGTCCGGGTCGGCGATCTCCTGGAGAGCCTTGGTCCAGTCTTGCGGCTTCGAGATGATGGAAATCTGCAACAACGACGGGTTGTTCCGGCAGCAGCAACGCAGGCGGCGGCGGCGGCGGCGGCGGCGACGGCGGATGCCATATTCGATTGGTGGTGGTTTTCTCTTCGTGTACTCGATTCGATAGAAGCTGAATTCGACTTTCAACATTATTAAAAAAAATGTATACATAAATGTTTCTTTCGACGGAATTAGATCCGATACGATATACGCAGCGGCGAGACCGCGACGAAAGAACGGCAGTAGGGGGGGGTGCCGTTGTGGGTGAAAAGATTCGCATGGTACTATCAATCGCCTGAAAAAGGAAGGTTACAGGTCATGTCCAAGCATGGTACAGCAGTAGATACGCCGAGGAAACCCGTTTATTTAAAATGGTCCTTTGATAAAGGTTTGTCGTTGTTGGGATTGCTGCGCACAACAGTAACCAATGAATGAACAACACATTTGCAACTCGTGTACCAACACCAGCATGTGTGCGATCTCTTCTTGAACCCAACAAAGGTGCGGCGCAACTCCTTCCGCTCCATGGCCACGCTCCAATGGACGACGTGGCGCCGCACCCACATACCTTGGATCGTGTGCGCTCGTCAACGAGAGGGCTAAACATGGACCAGACGTAGCTGAAGAGGCTCGGGGTGTTGACGATGAAGCATTTCCCCAACATCTCGGGGAACAGGAGCTGGTCCATGTGGGCCCTCAACTTGAAGAGCCGCACGAAAGCCTTGGTTACCTGCCACGTGAGAACATATTTCGTGAAGAGGAAGGAGCGACGCTCGGCTACGGTGCACACACACGGGGACTCACCGTTCTCGCTACGAGGTTCGATGGTGGAGTGTTTTTCCGATAACTTCTCTGAACTTGTTGATAGAATTTTCCAAGCAGCACTTGCATCGTGTTCGTGTTCACAGGGCTAGAGCTTGGGGGGGAAAACATGCGCCGGTATGCTGCACAAGGGGCGACCTAGATATCCAAAAATCATCTCCCTTGTGTCGTACACGCCTCCAGCGTTGTTGGGCGTACAAATCCCCTCGATAGAGTCTTCAGCAATGGCTTGCGACATCACCGGGAAGGTCTGATCATCATCAGCCAGCAAACAGCAACAATAACGGCCACGATATCAGTCTTCGTCGTATGAAACTCTTCAAAAATTGTTGTACATGTAGCACCCAGTCCCTTTCGCCTTGAGGTGGTGGCCATGACACTGCCCCCACTTCCAGCGGAGCGTAAAAAAATCAGCCAACAAGCGACTATGTAACAAAAAAAAAAAAGAGCAGGAAAAGCTGCCCACCCCACTCACGTGCCGCAACGTGAGCCCGCCCGTGTCGATCACCACCACCGCGGTGTCCACGATATGACCAGCCCGCTCCGCCGCGGCCCCCTCCCCTCCCCCCCCCCCCTCCAGTGTGCGCCTGCGGAGCACCCGCAGCAGCAGCTCCTGCTCCCGCGCGTGCAGCTCGGTCATGCGCTCGACCGTCGTGAGCTTCGTCATTTCCCATAACCGTAGAGAACCGTACCGGGTCGCCAAGATGGGACGGCCCAACTTGTCGAAGCCCATGAGCCACCTTGGGTAGAAGCTGTGTCCGTGTGAATAAGTCGGGGTTGGTTGGGTGTGAGGAGGGGTTCGTACAAGTCTTGGTGGGTAGAAGGGTTCAGCAGAGGGGATAGGTTATTGGGGTTGGGTTCGGTAGACAAAGGTTGGGTAGGGGTTCCATGTGCCGTGACGTATGCAAAACAAATTGAGTGAGTACTTGGGTGGGCGGCAGACGGACAGTTTGCTTAGGGATACGTGCGCCATCCTGACGCTAGCACATAGATAGATACATAGTGGCGTTATGGCGTGCATTTGGCGAAAAAAGTGTCGGTCAGCTTTGACATGGGCCAAAACCTCCAGGGATGTTTACGGTGCGTTTTTTTTCGATGGTGCGGTCGCACCGCACCGTAATCTTGTTAAAAAACAAAACACCGCAAAGCGGTGCGGTTCCCCACCGTGAACATCTCTGAAAAAATTCAACATGGTGTGAGAAACAAATAGTCCCGGATGTTCCGTCAAGGCAACAACAGCAGCAGTAACAACCATCAGCAACACTTTGCTGTGAACGATACTCCTACTGCCAAATTGCTTCCCCTTCCAGGCATACATGGCCTACCTGTTGAAGTCCTCGACGTTGCACGCCAATATGTCGTGCGGTGACTTGGTCAGCAGCCTGTCCGTTGGGTGTTGCCTCCTGTATTCGACGCAATCCTCCAACTAAAAAAAATCACGTTCGGGAACAGAGCGCAAGAGGTCGAGAGCGCGTGACGAGAGCTCGTGGGTCAGGAGTGGGATAGCACAGCTTCACGCATGGCTACGCGCGCAGTAGGGCTACGCGCGCACCGTTGGACGGTTCTGCTATTTAGTTGCTCCAAAACAAGGCGGGAGAGCCAAAACGTACTGATGTTCCTTTTGGTGTTGTTGTTGCAAAATAAGGAGGGACAGCCACACGTACTGATGTTCCTTTTCTGTTGTTGCAAAATAAGGCAGACAGCAAAACGTACCTATACGCCGACGGCGTCGTCAGCGCACCAGCGCCAACACCAAACAATTCTTAACCCTAACTGCTATGTGGGACGACGTCCATTTACACGGTAAAGGACGACCAATCAGTCTATGGCTCGGGAAGAGAGCGGGGAGCCGTTCGCAGGGAAACGGTGTAAATAGTAGCGCCTCCTCGTGAAAAGCCGTCTTGTAGTTCCAGTAGTAGTAGAAGCAGTAGTGAGGTGGTGTAAATTGAACTCTCGGAAGTATTACCTTGGTGTAGTAATAGGACACCACGACATGCAATGCCGGTCCTACAAGGAGCATGAAAACATCGCTCAACACACGGAACGGCCAAACGCAACAGCGCAGGACGGCGAGACCAACATACCCCACGAGACCTAAACATGCAGCGCCAAGCACGCGTGTGGAACACGCGTGTGGACACGAAACCGCCAGCGCCAAACACACAAAACACACCTGGGAGAGAGCCTTGTTCACGATGAACGCGTTCCCCCTCAAGAACCGCAAGAGGCACAGCCTCAGAGGCTCCACCGCATGGTCCCCCCGCTCGAACCCCTGTCCGTAGGCCCCCCTCACCAGACCCAGGTCCAACCCTTGGGCGGCAGATTGCAGCTCGGCGAGCGCCGCCTGCGCTTGCGATGGGGCGGCGGCGCGAGAGCACGTCAAGGGTGGAGAGTAGAGCAACGCGTCTGGTCCGAGGAAGCCTTCCAAGCGATCGATTTCCAGTGAAATGACTGTAGTTTAAGCGCCCGCGCTTGGGTGCAGCAGGCTGATCGTGATCCGAGGTCGCACTACAATAATAATATCGTGGCTGCAGGGTGGCCGTGAATGGGGGGGTCGCGGTTCGAGCACGCATAGGAGTAGTAGTATGGAATGATGGAAAGGGTGGGGGGGGGGGGGTGCGTGTGCGCGAATGGAGGTGTGGGTATTGTATCGTAAAACGCACAGCTTTCGGGCCACCCTACTTTCGAAACTTCGCGTTGTAGGCGCGTTTCGGAAGGAATCAGCGACCCACCCACCAATAGAGCCACGGGGCGTCTGCACCAAAGCAGCTGACCAGTCCCGAAGAAAGCAATGAAACCTCCACCGACATACAGCGTTCTTCCACGAGCGCTGCGGCGCCTAACTAAAAATGGAAACCCGTGTGGGCTTCGGAGTACGAGGCTTGTCGCGGAAGCGGAAGCTCGGCAACTCAACCGCTTTTAAAGCGAGTATTTCAGATGGATCCTACCAAAGGGGGGAGAAGTCTGAAATGTGGTTGTATTGGAGTTGATAGAAAGTGGGCATTAATATTACATGGCGAAGAGGATGATCTCATTCGTTCGTTCCGCTGCGCCCCGTGGGGCGGTCGTTTCTGGGCGGCCACGAAGTGTCTCTGCCGCGTCCAACAATCTCACACATGACACGCCGCCTACGGAGGGCGGCCGAGATTTCGTGAGCGCGGAAGGTTATCAGAAGCGCTCCTTCCTTGTGCTTACACACACGCCAGGAGAAACCTCTCTCGCTTCCCCGCGCTTCCCTCCCCGGCCAAGGGCCTCAAAACTCAAAAACAATCGTGAAAAGGTGCCAAGGGCTAAACTGCTGTGAGTAGCGGCTCGTTTTCGAGGTTTTCAAGGCCTCTTAACGAGCAATCGCGGACAGCCTGCGCAGAAGCACCCAAGAAATAACAAACGGGGTGTGCCATGTGGGCGAACACGTTCCAGAACCTGGCCACCTGGAGGACGAAAGGAACAAAAAAAAACATACCATGGTATGCTTCAAGGCTTCTTTCTGGCTTCTATTGCCAGCGGACAAATATCACTTGGTGAAGATATATTTCAAGATGTTAACGAAGGCAGGGGGGGGCACAGCCAGGATTCAGGAACGAATGTGGAAGTTTGAGGGAATCGGAATAACTTTTGGGTGCGCGGACCGAACGTACATTTTGTACAAAAAAAAAAAAAACGAACCCCCCAGGACGCGATGCCAAGGATTCGAGGGTTGTTTGATTGCAGAGCGGCTTCAGCCCCCGGTAGTTCCTCTCTGGAACTTAGAGATCACTTCGGGACAACAAGACTGATGCGGTGCTTCACGAACGAGCATGCTGTTCCAGAAAAACGCAGCGGGTGCATGTATACATACAACAGAAGGCGGAGAATTCGGATCTACAGCAAGAATAAGCTTTCCATGCTTTCCATGTACCCCAAGTCTACAGCAGCGACAACGATGGAGGGTGGAACACATGCCATCGGGGCATTGTATCGAAAGGGATGGGGTTCACTGCAAGGAGGGTGTGATAAGTGCTTGAATCAGCGCTTCGAAGTCATGAGGAGAGCTTGTTGTGTGTGGTCGGCGGTGAATTGCGACATCAGTCGCTCTCACGTTTTCAGTCGTAGGCGGTGCTGGTCATGACAGCGATGGATCACGACATGCACACATCTCCATGGTTGGCTAGGAATCAGCTATGAATACGAAGATATACAGATCTACAAAGAACAGCACCAGCATGTTAACTAACATGCATGATAGCTCCCCAACGTACAAGCAGCCCGAACTATCCGCATGTACACATATGCGTATGAATATGTGTGAGAGCACATTGAAAAACGTTCCGGCCAGCAGCAGCATTGCGGGGAGAGGCCACAACTCACCTCTTCATCTTGCGTCAGGCTCCCTTCATAGCCCTCCAAACTAGACCGCGGATCGTCTGGGTGGTACCTTAGCATACCTCAGCAAATGTGCATCGACGGCCATCCACGCTGCTCCTTCAACACGGCAGCTGTTAGCGGGCGACGGGTGGGCGGTGGGCGGCGGCACGCGGGGCGGGATAACGGGAAAAACCAAAATCACGGACAAACGCGGTGGGTGTATGTGGGCTCGGCGCGGTTCTCTCTTCTGCGGGCCCCCCTCTTTTGCCCAAGGTGGGTGTTCAGGTGCTCAGTGCTCAGCAGTCAGCGCAGATATCATCGATATCTAAACCCAGGGTCAGGAGTTAGGCGGTATCGTCAGAAGTTTGCTGCAGCCATGGACGATGTGAGTGCGTGGGTTGTGCATCAACGGTTCGATGCCAACTTTAACTTTTGGTTCTCTTCGGTACGAATTTACCGCTTCAGCAGCAGACCGGGATGCGGCGAAACCAGCAATGCGTCGCCGTAAGCTAGCTCGTACAGAGTCTGAAGCAGCAGATGGATCGTAGCTCCGTAGCCGCGTGATGAAAACTGGACGACTGGGAACGTAGGTAGCTTGTCTCTCACACTTGCACTTTGTCAGATGTTCATCATGACGAATCTGCTGCCTGCTGAATCTGCAAAATTGGTCCATCCAATGCTACATACTTAGACTGACTGAATACCGTTACCCATCTACACATGTACAGAGTTCGAGCACACACGAGGTGGCAGGGGCGGGACAAGCCACTAAAGGAGGAAGTGCAGCAGTACTTCATGGCCTCATCGTTTTACATCACCGGAGTCTTGTACACTCTCTGACGGAAAGTCTTTCTTTGACAGCACGCATGGGCTCTGTATCGCCCCGCCGCCGCCCATTTCCTTGGCCGCGAGCGGGGTATGGGCCTCAGCGCTCAATGATTACCGTACGAGCAACATGATATGCTCGTATCTCGCACGGTCTTCACTCGAACTCGTCCGTCGTGTGTACTCACCTCCTTTGGTCTGTTCCTGCATTCCCATGGCCGAAGGCGTTCGAAAGCATGAAGGCAAGCTCGATGAGGCTCTTGGGGGGGGAACCGGAGGAGAAAAGCACGCTGCAGGAGATGGAGGAGGCAGTGTGCAGCGTCTGCCCTTCCCTGTCGTGGAGAAATCGGCTCATTGGCTACGGCGCTTGTCTGGCGGTCGGGTTCTGCCTTACCTTCGGATCTCTCTTCAGGTTAGCATCACTTCGACCGAAACGCAGCAGTTGGGGCTGTCTCATCCTTGGTTTTTCGCGATCGAGGCCACGGCACGCGCTTGGGATCTTGCGTTTCGTCGTGGATGCTATCAACTACTGCCCCTAAATGGGTGGTTTCAGCGACAGCAAATGCTACTCTTGCAGCGGCGAAGACGTTACCACTTTCGGCATGCCCTCGGGCAGGCTATGTAGAGCTCTCCCGATCTTGTGGCCCCGTGTTTCAAATGACAACCCGACGCAGCTACAAACGGTTCCAAAGAAATATCTTTCTCCACACATGCTGGCTGTGGAACTGTCATCCTTTGATCATGGCAGTCTACACACCAGCGGGACATGAATATGCGGCAATGTAGTAGAAAGGCGGGAGGTCGCACTGATATGCAGCAGGATTCTTCAACGTCATTTTTGGTTCACAACTTTGACCTCATACACCAGCACGCAGGACGACCCCCCCCACCCCACCCCCAACCCCTCTATCCCGTCCGCGGCGTCACCAGGGTGGCGCAACTGCTCACAGGGAACCCGCGGCCGTTCGTCCTCTACTTCTCGCTGGGAAGTGCGCTGAACATCTGCAGCTCCTTTTTTCTCACGGGCCCGTGGAAACAGATCAAGAAGATGTTCAATCCCGTGAGAGCCGTGGCCACCAGCATCTACCTGGCCACCCTTTCCGCGACGCTGTTCGTGGCGCTCTCTCCGTACGCGAGCGTGCCCTTCCGGGGCATCCTCCTCCTGTGCCTCGTGGTCGCGCAGTTCTTGTCGTACGTGTGGTACACCCTCTCTTACGTCCCGTTCGCGCGGAGGTTTATGGCTGGGTTTTGGTCGGGGTTGAGAGGCGGAGGATGATGAGGCGAAGATGTTCTCTCTTTTGTTCCGCAGGTCGGGCCCGCGCGTGTTGTGTGTATGTATTTCGGGTCCCGCTCCGACCGCGCTAACCGGCTGACCCAATGAAAATTGTTTGTGTGTGTTTTGTGCTCTGTGCAGCTGTTCCTTGTGGTCGGTCTTAACAGCCTCTTCTCGTTTGGTGTTGACTTAACTGTGTTTTGTTTCCGTAAAATCGTATGTAGTGTGAGCTTCGTCCTTGCCTCTTGTAGCACAAGCGTGATCAAATCTAGGCTTCTTGAGTTCTTCATCGAGGCTGGGGAGCGGAGGAACGGCACCAACGCCGGCGGTGCACGACTGTTTCAGAAATTCCAGTGTCGTTCCTCTGCAGCAGGCTCATGTTTTCTGTTTTCCTCGACGAGTACTGGGAGCGGGGAAGGTTGTTCTTACCGTGGGCTGATTTTTTTTCGGAAGAGGGTCGTCCTTGGTGTGAATGTAGCCCAGTCCCCGTGGAATCATGCCTACCACATCCTTCTGGTGGTCTGGTCGATCCCGGGGCTGCTCGATTGGTTTAATTTCTTGGTTGCTTTTCAAGCTGAGCTTCACGGTGGTGCTGCAGGGTCATAGTGGGAGCACGCCATGCCATCAGTAGAGGGTGCAGTCGCCTTCTTGAAGCTGCAACACACGGTCCCGTTCGAGTTTTTCGTGGGGTGTTCTCACCGGTGTTCCTCTTTGGTATTTTTTGTTGTGCAACGTTTGGAAGCTGGGCCTTCTGAGACGAGAGAGCGCATTGCTAATGAACGAGAGTGCTGTGATGTGGATAAGCGATGCCTACAAGTGTGGTTACGAGGCGGGAGGCCTCCTACCAGGTGTACGTCGCGGCGCCTGCGTGGTCAGTGAGGGTGAACTCTTTCTTCCGTATGTCAACCTCGGTTTTTGTGTGAGGACTATCCTTCTTGCTTCTCGCGAGACGGCCGTTGTGGCGAGGGTCGCTTTCGCGTGTCTCGTTCTCCCCGCTTCCGATCGACAGAGAGCAAGGTGTAATCAAGCGTGCGCACATGTTGCATTAGCACGAGTGCGCCTACTGGCACGATTGCGAATCATCAAGTTTCGCTCTCTCTCTCTCTCTCTCTCTCTCTCTCTCTCTCGCTCTCCCTCTTTCTTACACTTCATCTCTTGCTGCTCTGCACCCCCCCCCCACCCCCCCACCCCGATCCGAAAAACGATGCCGGGGACACTTCGTTGCCACGCTGCACTTGGTCTTTAAGGAATAAGCCATCTTGCCCAAAACCAAGTCTTGTTCGGAGGAGATGGACGTTCTCAAAATAGGAGCGTAGGTGCTGGGTGCGTGCACCCCTTCTTCGTGGAGTGTTGGTTCCAAGTTCATCAGGCGGATTCGAGAAAATCGCAGGCCCTGCTTTTGGCTTAAAGAAGAGAACGCCACGAAAGCGAAAGAACAAAACCTCTTGGCCTCCCAACCTGGCCAATTCTTAGTACCCCTCTCTCTCAGTCCACTTACTGCTGCTGTGCAGCTTTCCTCTTGTACGCTATATCCAGTGTGCCTTGCCCTTGCACGTGAATTTTTCGAGAAATTGACTACTCCAAAGACGTCCTCCAAACAAACATGATACCCCAAAATACAGGAACAAAACGCCTCTGTCAAATTCGACAGTTTCAATAAACACTACTGTGGGTTACCCGCCTATGTCTAAACAAACTTACCCTCTTCTCTTGCCGTCTTCTTCCTGTCGATTTCGTTGCGTTGACAGACCGCTTCCAAAACACTCTCCCGCGCTCTTTGAGTCCAATTCGTAGAGGACGACAAGGAAAGTAGAATAGCACCCAAGAACTATTGTGACGAGGGCATACCGCACATCTACTCAGAATCTCCCCATCCATGTGTTCATTTTTGCCGGGCTTGAGAGCGAGGCCGCGGGGCACTGTTGTATCTACGATTCCATATCTGAATGAGGTGTCCGTGCAGTCTCTGTAGATCAAAAACGAACGCAGCAATCCGTTTATTGCGGACACCAACTCCTCGATCGGCGGAGATGGGTATGACGACGTGCACACAAGGCAAACTGGAATGAACCGGGAAAAGGGAGATAGAGACGGCATTCGCCGTGAAATGTGGACCCACGCATACCCTCGCTTCTTTGACTACAACAGAACCCGGGGTGCCATGCTTCCAACTAATACAACTGCACAATCCTGGAAGACAGAAACACTGGTTGTGCCTGTCGATTCATTGGGCAGGGGGCAAGAACGACACAAAGGAAACCAACAACCGAACAACGACAATATTGCAGCTACCAGTCAGTGCGAAAATACAGTCACGCAAACGACGACCAACTTTGGAAGGGTCCTCTCGGAAACCCAAAGACCACCCGTCAGAGAGCAGCAGCCACCTCCCACCCGGCCACGGCCCCACACCCTTCACGCAGAAAGACAATGGTAAAACTATGGACCACCACTACCCCACGGCGCCGCGGTCCGTGTACGACAGAGTATTCGTTATTCGTACGTCCCTCACCCGACGTTGACATCACTCTCAATCCGTTACCACCGCCGGTGCTGCTGCGCCGTTGCCGACACGTACTTGCGCGATTCTTTCAAGAACCAGCTTCTGAACGCTCTCAGCGAGCACCGCCTCCGCGCTCTTGGTGGTGACTCTCGTTGCTCCCGTGGCGGCGTGCAGCTCTACTCCCACGAGGCATATTTCTCGCGCTTCCGCTGTCGTCTCTCGCCCTGCCTCCGCCGCATTCGCACTCTTTGCGGAGGAAGGAGAACGGGCGGTGAGAAGAAGCTCTCCGGCTGCAGCAACCAGCTCCACCCCTGGGGCCGCCGCCCCCGCTGGTCGCTGCTGGGCGACCTCTCTGATACCGAGAGTCTCGACCAGAATTCGCCTGACATCGGAGGATGAAACACGTTGTTTCTGCTGCTGCGGCTGCTGCTGTTGTTGTTGCTGCTGCGATTCCTCGCCGCCGACTACGGTCTGCTCCGAGCAGGGGACGGTCGTCCACCGCTGCCGGAACTCGTCCGGGTCGATCGTCAAGCCCGCCAAGAACGCCGCTACCGTTACCACAGGGAGGGCCACCCTGGTCGCCGAGAAGGGCCGATCGCTTGTAGTCAGCACGATCTCTGGGGGAGAGGAGAACGCTCGAAAGCACGTCACCGAGAGCTCTTGCCGCAGCTCTCGTGATCCCTCGCTCTCTCTGCTGCCTACGCCGTCAAGCTCGACGGAGGTCATGTCCGGACGGAAAGAAATTTCTAGCGCCGAAGAAGTCGAGGTGGTGTTATCGACATCCCTGGGGAACGTAACGGAGAGCCTCGTCTTGGGGGGAACTTGAAGGTCGTACCTGAGGGCGATGGAGCAGGTTCTGCCGAGATTGACGCATTCTTCCAAGATCACGCGCATCGAAGAGCCGTTGTCGAAAAGCACCTGCTGGATTGTGCACAAAACAACAAAGGACACGTGTAGCGATGTTTAAAAGTGCACAACAGCTAGCGTGCTGTAGGTAGGTCCACAAGGAAGGGATGAACAATCGCCTCCGTCTGGCATCAGTCCATCTTTGTTCAATCGATACTAAAGCTTTGGGTCCTTTCTCCGAACGCTTCCCATGTCGTCGGGGAGCTTAGTTAGACACGAAGCAATGTCACACAACGTGGTCCATACGGGCGCTTTCACGAGCTAGAGCTGCATCCACTTGTCGATAACCTTCAAACCTTTCCGGGAGATGTTGCCTCCTCCGGTGTAGAATCCAACAGCGGTGAGCTTCCCGGCGTCCCGAAGGGGTTGAAATCCTCCGGCCTCTGGCTTGAGTCCGCCTCGCCCAACAACGCCGCAGGCGGTGGATTCAAGACACCCGAATCCGGCTGCTGCAACCAATCCAGCTGCGGTTCGTCGGCGGGTGTCGGTGTATCTGACCCGGAGGGCGGGGGGGGCTCCGCCGTATTGTCTCGAAAGGCCAAGTGCAAGTCCGTCTCTTCTTGAGTGGGCGGCGGCGAAGGCGGTATCTCGGTTCTGTCTCTAAAGGCTGAGAATAACAGGTCTGCTTGTTCCTCCGAGGGAGATGGCGGAGGCATCGCGTCCGTCGTCGAGTCCCAGAGGCCGGACAACAAGTCCGCCGGCGCCTGCGCCGCGCTTGGCGACGGTGGTCCCGTCGAGTCTCGAAACGGAAAGGACGAGTCCATCGGAGTCTTGGACGGGGGGATCGGAAGCGGCGTCACGGGTGGAGTTGGGGTCGGAGAAGAAGCTAAACGTTCGGCGCCAAACGCGAGCAACGGCGTCGGCGGAAGACACTTATCTACAGTTGCTGTACCCTCTCCTGTAGCTGGCGCCACCGCTGGGGGTGGGGGCACCCGGGGCGAGCTGAGAGTTTGGGGCGTCGAGGACAACCCTGTTGGATCTGCAGGCCTTTCAGACGACGCGCCACTCCAAGTTGATGGAGACTGATCTCGTGCCAGGTCCAACTCTTGTATTCGCGGCGGACCCCACGGCGTGGTGAGCAGCAACTGATCGAGGATGGGAGGAGTTGCAGCGTCGAAGGCGGCGGGCCACGCGGCCTCTCGGGTGGTGGTGGTGGACGTCGCACCAGTGGGCGATGGGGCCGCAGCGGTGGTGGCTGCGGCGGCGGTGGCGGTGGCTGGGACAATTTTTCCTGCCGGGAACAGCTTGCCTATACTGGAGGAATGGGACGCCGAGCTTTGACCTGCCGGAAAAAGATCCTCGCATAGCCCTGAGGACTGGGACCCCGAGATGTCGGTGGCCGGAGCGGCGTCAGCCGCGGTGGCGGACCGCGTGACAGAGGGCCTGAGCTCCGCCGCTACAAGTTCGTTGCCCTTTGTCTCCTCGACGCCACCTCTTGGACCACACGACGCCACGGCTAACGAGTCTTCACCTTCTTCGCAGAACGGAAAATCGAACGGATTGTTGTTCCCATTCGACACCTTCGAGACCGATCTTCTTGTGCCGGGAGTCTCGAGGCTGGAGTCAACCTCTCCACTTCCGACGTCTCCTATCCGCCCCTGTGTCCCCTCTCCATCGCCTTCCTCGTCGCTGGAAGAGTCGAATGGATTGATGCCACCGCCACCGTCTGAGGCTCGCCGGCCTGGAGCGGCCGGGGTAAGGGTAGCATCTCCCACCCAAACCTCGGGGTCCGTGGCCAGGTTCATCGAGGGAATGCGGTGCAACCCTTCGGCGGTGCTGGTAGGGGTTCGCGCTCCGTCCGACGACACGCCTCCGTCATCGACGAGCTCCTCCGACGATGTTCGGGCAACGATAGCCGTGCAGGTACTCGCGGTGTCACCAGAAGTGCTCGTGACCGTCATGTTTTCTTGACGCTCGAGGCGAAGGTGCATCAACGACATGAACTTCTCCACCTGGCACATGTTGGAGGCAGCAGGGGGGGGGGTGAGGAGAGCACGGGGGAGCAAGCGACGAAAACATACCGGTGTAGGGATCTCTATACAACCAACAGCAAGCAGGTATCACGTGATCATGCAGGGAACGTCTACAGGTTGTGTCGTTGCAGCCAACGGTGTGACCAATAACGATCGTTTCAATAAGTTGCCTCGTGGATGGGTTATGGGTGTCAAACATAGCCGTTCGAGGACGTCGACACCCTGACATGGAAGACACCTTCTAGGATAACTGTTGTCGAAGACTCAATCAGTTTAAGTATGTCACTAGTTGCTCTGTTGTGCCTCTTTCCCTACCTGGTGCTCGATCGCCAAAGCCAGACGCTTGGCGTTTGGCGTCACAAGCAGCATGTCCTGCGTGGAGCGCGCGGGGGGGGGAGGCGGGAATTTTCAGGAAAGGATGTCGAGAGTGGCCGATCGATGCCACAAGCTCTCCTTAAAGTCTTGAGTCGGGTCCAAGCCAGCCGCACAAAGCGCTGCAATCCTAGGATCTAGACCCAAATCTACGACACTGGCACCGTCCCTACGTTCATCCCGTCCTTTCGACGCTGACAATCAAGCAAAACATGATAAGGACAACGATCTGGCAGAAGTCGACCCACTCCCGCACCTCTCTCTTCTTGAACTGGTCGTCGATAAAGCACTGCACGGCCAGGGCGCGGGTGCCGTCCTGAAGCAGCACGATCGTCCACTTGTAGAAGTCCGTGAAGCTCCAGAACCTGACGTTGTCGGCGTAGCTGGCGCTGGAGGATCCCCTCTTCTTCGGGTGCGCGGCCAGCGCGGCCAGCGACGTCGCCGCCGCCTCCGAGAAGCCGAACCTCAGCTCCATTCCCATGCTGCCCAGGTGCACCGTGCCGGCGTTCTCGGGGCCGTACTCGCCCCCGTGCCTGGCCCAGTGAGCCTTGACCTCGAACATGATCTCGCCGTCGTCGACCACAGCCACGTCCTCGTCCACCGCCACCGAGATCATGCGCAGCCACTCCAGGACGGCCGTTCGGGAGTCGGCCGCCAGGGTCCACTGCCGCTGTGTCGTAACGACGGTGAACGCGTTGGCGGGCAGCTCGACCGCGGGGAGCTTCTGCCTGCCGATCTCCGGGCGCAGGAAACACACCTTGCAGAGGTCCACGAGCTGGCGCTCCCTCCGGGCCTCGTTGTACAGCGGCACCTCGCTCACGTCGTTGTAGTACGCGAGGAAGTGCCCCTGCGGGGTGTCGTAGAGGACGAAGTAGCGCCAGATCCAGCGCTTGATCGCCCCGCCGCCCCTCTTCCGCAGCCACCCCTGGTGCACCACGACGCGCTCCCACTGGGGCCGCGCGCCGCCGTTGTACCTAAGCGTGCGCTTCTTCTCCACGCCCAGGAGCGCCCGCGGGCTAGGCAGGAGGTTGAGCTGCCCGCGCTTCGGCGACGGCTGGATCACCTGGCCGACGCGCACGTCCACCCCGTCGAGGTCGACCGGATCGACTCGGCCGGTGGGGAGGGCCGGCGCTTGCACTTCCCCGCGCAGGGTGACCATCGACGCCACGCACCGCCCGTGCGTCGAGCCGGCCTTGGGGGGCAGCCGGAGCTCCGCCCTCCTCGCGTTCCAGAAGTACTCCATGCTGTTGCGGGCGAGGGTGAGGTCTTCGTCCGGGATGCCGAGGAACACGCGGCGACAAGGACGCCCCCCCCGGCCGAGGCGGGTGTTGCTCTCCTCTCGCCAGACGGCCACCACTCGGGCCTCCGTCTCGATTTCTCTCCGTACTTTCGCCTGGTGGGTGCCGGCGTCGCCAGGACCGTGATCGTCGTCGTGGTCGTCGTCGCCCTCCTGCCCCTCTTCTTCCTCGGGCAGGACTACCCAGAGCACGATCCCGCTGGGCGGCCTCGGCCCCGTCCCTGGCACAACGGAGAGCGACCAGTCGTCGATCTCGTCGTACGAAAAGGTTGCGTTCTTTCCGCAGTCGGTCCTCGGCTGCACCTCGACGGAAGCGAAGCTCAGCACCAAGTCTCCGAACGTCGAGCGGTATTGCGCGTCGGGTACCCTGCTGGTCGATGATGGGGTAAGGCCTTCCAACGCCGACAACGAAAAGCGGTTTTCTCCGAGAAAAACCGCGTCCATGGCATGCTTCGGACGCAGGGAACAGAGTTGTGGTCGGCTGATCCCCTCGTGCTCCTCGAAGGACCACCTGCGCATCTCCTGGGACAGCAGCAGCATGGAGGCCAAGGGGAGGAGAAAAGAGTCGCAGCTCAGCACATGACCCATCACGTGTCCATCAGCACTGAAATTAACTCTTCTACCCCCGTGTATTCCGGAACTCTTCGTTCGAGAATTCATTATTTAGTGGACACGCAATTGCAAGCGCAAACCAGTCACAAATTGTACCACATTCCACGCCAACTACTGCTGTTTGTGCTGTGAATGTGATGCGTTCATTTTTCATGTTCTGTTTGCGTGTACTCCTGTAGTCAGTGCAGTTGACTGTGAGTGTGTATCACGTCGTGCTTGAGATGGAACGGAAGAGAAGAATGGAAAGCTCTCCGTATGTATACTGAGCGCAATGGTTCATGTGCAGCAACCAGTGTCATGGGTTGCTAAAATCCACAATCCGTGCTTTGCAGGTTGACTCTTTAATGTGAGTTCTCCAATCGGTTCATGTACTCTTCCTGGAAACCATGCACATGTATGTTCAGTGCACGCAACGTTTTACCTTGAGCGTGGGGAGTTTGCCCTCCGGTACGGTGAAGGAGAGGTTTGGACGCTTGCGCTGAAAAGGTTTCGGCTTGGTGAACCCCGCGAACATGCCAAGATACACAGAAGTAGGCGCTGCTTGGGGTTCCCGGCCGGCGTTCCTCGCGTGCGCCGCCTCTGCCCGTGCTCGCTGCTTTAGCTCATCTTCCATATCAATCGAGTTTTCGACGCGAACCGAGATGAAAATGTTATCCGACGGGGGGCTAGAATCTGCTGGGCCGTTCCCCTCCCCTCGGTCCTTCGTCGATCCCTCGGTAACCTTGTGAGGTGCTTCCTCGAAGTCGACTTTAAGGCTCGAAGCTGCATGATCCCAGGTCAGCACTCGAATGGCCCCGTAGGGGATACTCAGCAAGGTTTGCTCTACGACCCCGACTGCCTCCTTCAACAAAAGTTCCGTCTTCATCATGTGCACTGTCATGAGCCGGCCTTTTAGGGGTTCGTTTATATTCTCCTTCGATCCACGCCGCCTCGTTTCGGGCGGCCCTGTTGAAGGGGTGTATCCTGGCAGCGGCTGTGGCAAAAGGTTATCCGTACAGTCGTCGCAGGACGCGGCAAAGCAGTGCTCGAAGTCCGAGATTCCATCGACGACGCCATCATCCCCAATGCTTTCACGGTCACCCACCACTATATTCCCCATGACTCAAGGCTCGCTTCGCAGCAGCAAGCGCAGCAGCAGATGTGTGGCACAGGAGTGTACCGATCCTAATGAGGAATCCACCTGCTTTGTTTTCCCGCAAGATATATTGTGCGACGATCTTTGGTGGGGTTCTGTTTTTCCTTGTGTCCCTTCACGTTTTTAGCCGTTACAAGCTGCAGGAAGCCAGGACGCCTGGGGGGTTATTTTTTTTATACAACAGTACGAAACCCGAGGATTGACCAAATACATCCGTATGGGTTTGAATGAATCCATTGCTAAATTATCCTGGATTCTATCTGTGGATAGAGATGAATTCGTTGTGTTTTCGTGAGAAAAAAAGGAGCGTGGAAGATATGACCCCCGATGGTCCGTAAAATCTACATTTGTACGGCAATAATTTCTGTCACGCCCCTGCAGAGAGTTTCTCGAGAAGGCGAGAAAACTAAGATATGGACACCTCTCCCTTTCTCCCCCCCTCCAACACACATGTCACGCAGATACAAGGTGGTAGGTGTTGTTCACAGATTAATACACACGGTACATATATTCCGATCTCTGCTCCGTGCCTTCAATATTCGAATGAATGTATGTGTGGTCCTCAGACGAGGACGGACGTAATGAATGGCAGACAGCTAGCTAGCTGCTCCAGCTTCAGTTAGGCGTCATTTGGTTTCCCATGAGAGTTATCGTACATGTAAATCAATAAATGGAGTAAGAATTAGTGTGTGCCGTCGTACATGTAGCTCGTCGTTTGAAGATGGTGTCGAGTACCAAAAGTTACGACAACTATAATAATATGATAACAGTGCTTGATTCCCCTTCCGACTACATACACTGTAACAATACGCGCTTCATCTGGTTGTTCCCAACACGTACTACGTGCACCACAACCACCATGTTTACTTCGTGATGCCCTTCATGTAACGAAACACATTATATCTACGAGAACTCTCCACTACAATAAAACTTTTCGGCGAAGAGCATTTGGCAATATGATGTACGCGGGAAAAAACACAGCGAGCGGCGGAGGAGGCGGACCCCTCACCAGGTAGTGAAATTGGAGAAAGAGTCAAGGGTCTATACACTAAAATAGTCGAAACATACTTTTTTTTATACTACGCCACTGAGATTCAGGGGACCGTGCCCAATCGAAAATCTACATACATCCGAAAACAAATTTTGGTTCACCCGTAGAAGGCCTGCATTGGGGACGTGATTACTTGGACCCCAAAACCAATTGTGTCCACAACCGTGAGCAATTAAATTCTCTAAAAACATCACAAGTATTGCACGTATACAGGAAGAAGTTCGCATGCCAGCTGGATCTCCGGAAATTTCAAAGAAATTTCTGCTGCGGCCGACCGGTTGGAGTCCTTGGTTGCGCCCTCCGCCTGGCAGCTCTCGCCCATGATTTTACCGCAGCAGAGAGGCCGACCAATGCCTTCCTGCCCGAGATGGGCTGCTCCTATCTTGCATTCGGGGTCATTATGAGGCCATTGCAACACTGCCCTTGTGCACCTTTTTTGCCAATCAATCAAGGTCGGCAAGGAAGGGTTGTGGCAGAGGTGGTTGGTGCAAAGTGCCGACGATCAATTATTCTGTCGGAAGGGATAACACCTACTACACGCGACATGCACGCATGAGAGCTTATCGCACCGAAACGCATGCTAGTGCATAACTTTTTCAACACAGCGGCACCGTACCCAGCGCGCGCTCTCGCTACAGTTACGGCCTTTGGTTTCCGGTCTGTGAAGTGCGTGCAGTAAGGCAAGCGTCATGTGAACTCCAATACGACCGCACCAATGAATGCACGGGAGAGTTGAATGGAAACAACGAAATTGATAGGCATCCACGACTCACGCGAGGTCTTGATAGGTTTGTCACGCTGCTTGTACCCATGTAAGGTGTCATATGCACACCACAAGACACTTATTCAAGACTATAGCTTTGCAAACTAACTTGCAACAATTCTTACTACTACTCGAGCTGCTATCTGTCGAGGTGGCAGCAACCGCACGTGTATCTCACCGTGATCAAGCCCATCGCCCGAAGAGCGTTAAGGACGCAGTCACCCGTCAGGCCGAACACCTGACAAGTACAAAAACAAGAAGAACAGCAAACAAACCCAATACCACGTGGATTGGTGCCATGTGTCGCTGAGTTGATCCGTAAGGGCTGCAACACTGAACATCAACAGCAGATGGATGCTGGATTACACACATGTATGTAGCGTGCGTTTTTGCTCTTGTTTTGGGGTATTTGTTTTTATTTTCAGTTTTATTTTTTTATTTTCAGTTTTTGGGGATGCTTCGTTCTTCGTGGAGGCTACAACGTCGACGGCCCAATGAACATGGCCCGCTCTCAGATGCTCATTTTTAGAGATGTTTGGTGTGTTTTGTTTTGGGTATTGGGTGTTTTTTGGTTTTTGGTGTTGGGGACGTAAAACAAGGGGAAAAAGCAGAGGAAGAAAATATATCAGCTGTAAACACAGCAGCGACGACTTTTAGGAGCTTTTGTCCACCCTCAACGTCTGATCTCATCCTCTTCGTATCAATCTGCTATCCAAAACGGTTAAGCAACGAACATCAACACGAAGAAAAAAAAAATTCAAGGCACCCAACAACCAACCCATCGACACAAGTCAATCCGGAGCGTGTTGCCCGTGGTGCGTGTGCCCTCTGAAGAAAGTCTCGTCGCAAAAAGAAGGCAGGCTGCGTAGTCGGCCGTACCTTAAGACCCGCGGCATCCAGCTCTCTCTTGGTGATGGGGGCGGGTTTGCAGCCGGGCCTGGCGAAAATCAACAAGTGTTCAACCGCACGATAGGCGAAACAGCTTGGACCACATAAGCGAGAGCATATCTCAAGACAGTCTACCAGGGCACTCGATGTCACAGCGCACGAATAAAACATGCCAGGAAAGGCCTAAAGAGATGATAGGAATCCCTGCCTCTGTCATATCTCTTTATCTTTCTGTCTTTGCGCTCCCCCTGGGGGGAGAAACGACCACCTTCAAGAGAACGTACAGACAGAGAAGAGAGAGCGAGAGGGCGGTGCTTGTTTTGCCTTGAGTTGGGGGGGGGCAGGTGGGCGAGTAGGATCGCAAGCTCCCCCAGCCACGGGAGCGCCTGCTGACCACCAACACACGGTGTGCCACCATGATACTAAACAACCAACCGTCGAGAGACAGCACTTGTGCTGTATAAACGTCTACGTGATTCCCTGATATTATACTTCGTTTACCTGCCACGGCTCTTTTTCGCTTCGAAATCTTCGCGAACCTTGGCGTACACCTGTTTTTGTCGTTGTCGTCGTTTCGTTCCGTTTGGTCACAAGAGCACAAGAAGTCGTCACACAAGGCAGCGGCGGGGATTTCAGAATTAAGATTTCAGTCAGCATACCAATCATGTCTCGACAATTTTTCGAGAAGCTCATTCGACGACTTTCTCCTGTCTATAACAGTGCAATACCACCCGACCATTATTGTGACGACTGCTGCGTTACTTCCAGTTGTATTCCAAGAGGAACGCCTGGGAGAGAGAGAGAGAGAGAGAGAGAGATACAAGTAATGAGGGTGACAGCGAACCGACCGTACCCAGATCGCAAACAAGAACAGACTATTATAGCAGCGATTCAGAAAAGACACGGGAGGGCATGAAAGGTAGCGGCGAGGCACAAGACAAGACAAGACAAGGGCCATCATCACCTTTCGCACGTCTTGCAGCTTGGACCGCCCCCGGGTGTTAGCGTGGATCGCCAGGAAGTCTTCTTCGAAACTGACAAACAAACACGAAGTGCACATGCAAGGACTCGGGGAGGTCACTTGAAAGCTTTGAGGAAGAAGATTTACCATTCTTATTGGACACGGGAGACAAGTGCACGCAAATGAACACATGCTTCCATCAGCGACGCTACACGAGGGCTACAGCAAAGTAGGGAAGGATGAGTGGAAGTCCCACGTGGACTAACCGCAGGTGTTAAAGTGGCACTCCAATCTGGTTTGACAAGCACTAAGTATGGAAGAATCTCATCTTACGGGGGTTCTGGACCCCTGATGGTGCGCTAATAGCAACACGCCATGGCCATATATTCCTGCCAAACGGTGTCTCAGGCGACGGGCGGATGAGGTGCTTTTTTGTACTCTCATTTTGTGCTTCGGCAATACTACCTCACGATGCAGGGGGGAACAACTGAATGGCTTTGTCGTCATCGTGTGTCACAACAGCTCATCGCGAAGAAACCACCCTGAGTTCAATCTACGGCGGCGGTAGCCCCGGCACAATACCGCCAAGACTTAGCGCATCTAAGGTAGACCTATGCCGCAGGCGCTCTAACAAGCAACAGCAGTACACGGAGAGAACGCTGCAAAAAAAAAAAGGCTAATGCTCACATCACCGAGAACGACTGCTCGACGACCCTCTCCTCCACGCGGCTCGCCGACATCTCCGGATTGCCCGAGTGCAGCACTGAAATCGCAACAAGATCGAAGAATCAGTACATGCCTGTGAGGCAAGGGATTGCGGTCCACAACAGTTAAGAAGAGGTCCGATAAAAAATGGCGCTATTCACCCCCAACACATTGACTGTCAACCACGGTAGTTTATACAGCTAAATACACAAATAACCCTGGCCCGATTCCCGAGAAACACGCTATCTCCTGCTGTTGGCCAAGTTCGAGTTTCTTGTCACGACATTCAACGAGCGACCCGAGCGCGTTAATACGAGGAAACATACACTGTTCTGGTTCATTGCCCATACAGGCCGTTCTAACGGCGGCGCCTACGCTCTGTCTGCTGAAGTGACAACATCTGCACCGAGATCGAGCGCTCGTCAACTCACCCTCAGGGAATACCCAAGCCAGCAAGAAGAGTCGTTGGGTTGATCACGAGCCGTGCTTTCAGCAAAAAAAATATAATGCATGCATAGTAGTGTAGAAAAAAAGGAGGCATATGGGGCACCACTTGCTGCCGAACATACCAGTCGAAGCTTGAGTAGCGTCCTCCTCAACCGCCGACCCCACCCCCTCCCCCTCGTCGCCACCCGAAACAAAGCTGTCGGACACGGCACCGCTATCTCGTGGCGCTGTCGCGGAGAAGAACATCGCGCGCTACAGCTGTTAGAGAGAGGTCGCATATGGTTGACTTTTATGCATACGAGTGGTGGAAGAAACGAGAGAAGAAACAAATGTTTCAATATTTTCCCTCGAGCAGGGATGACGGCCTTCAACAGCCAACCGCCCCTTGCTTCCGAGTCGAAACACAAAACTGTTCCACCAAAAACCACTCTTCAAGCAAGAGACCCCAAAATACGAGGTGGAACCTTAGAATTTTTCACCCGTCCCGTCTCGTAAAAAAGTGCGAACAGTGTTCGAAGAATGTGCTCATGTCCCTTTCGAGATTGTGAGCACAACAAGCATGCGCAAACACCGAGGTTTCGGTTTCCGTGCGGTGGGCTAAGGGGAGAGGGAGGAGATCGTGCCGCCAGCGTGATGCCGCTCCATCACTTACCGGGCAAGAAACTTTCAACGTCGGCCGCCGTCGCGACCCACTCGGGATCTGGCCGAGACAGTAGTAGCGGAACAAGAGGTCCAAAGCAGCATGAGGTGCGTGTTACGGGCGCTACAAATGGTTTCTGTTTCAGCCAGTGCATCCAAAACCCAGGCGACCAAAAACAGAAGCCCTTGATGCAGAACCGCTATTTGCCGTAAGCAGGCGACACAGAAACTACCAAAAAAAACGTCGAATGTGGAGCGCAAGCACATCTCCAGCACACGCAGCAGAATTACGGGATGACCGATCGCTAGGTCAGTTGCCCGTCTCAGGGCACATCCCGAAGGACTGATTCCGCGGGAAAATCCAGCGGCGTGCGAGGCAGGAAACAAACAGGGTAGTCCCTAGTTCACAACAAGCTGGGGCAACAGCAACAACGCAACCACAACGACACCGACATTAACAAAACAACGGTACACGACTGCCGTGGATGGTCCGAGTGCGCCATCATACCTGGTGCAACGCCGAGGCGCGCGTAGAGCCCCACCATGACGTTGTAGTTCTCGATCACAGTCGTGTTTAAGGCAATCTCTGTCTCCTGCGCAGGCGAAGTGGAAGTAAGACAAAGAGGAAAACAACAAGGTGGCAATTCGCTTGGGGTCTCCGCGGGAGCTATGTAATAAGACAACGGTTACGACCCCCATTAGCTCGTGCGGGGCAGTGGGCTTCGATCTTTTGAACACACAAAGGCGATGTACCGTCACAGGCCCGCTATAGTGCGATCGTGTGCCAAGCCCGATTCCCCCCCGCTTTTGGGAACAGCAAGAAACACAGGCTCGAGTAACGTCGCGGAGACAGAGCACTACCAAGCGGGTTTCCAAGTGCACTATAGCGGCCACCCCCACTCTATCGGACAGAAGAAAATGTCCCGCTTGGCGTACTGCCAAGCAAGATCCATGGACAGAGTGTATCCTCACCTTTCTCTCCGCCTCTACTTCCGTGGCGTCTTTGGCTAGCCCAGGCAGCTCCGTCTTGATCGCTCGGATGCGGTGGTGGAGCGTGTGCAGGTCGGGAATGGAGACGTTGGCTCTGTTGGAACAAAAACACGGCCGTGTAGGTGTGAGCGTTGCTGCTGAGGTTGACTCTTACTGGAACCACGTTCGCGACCCGTGGGTGGCTAGACGAATAATTGAGTAGCGTGGTATACGAGTATGATACTTTATAACTTCAACTTCAATCGATCAGATTTCGATAAAGAATTCGGCGTTTCACTACCCCACATATCCCGCCTTCAGGTACTACTGTCGGAGTAAAAACACCAGCAACACCCACAAGAGCAACTACTAGCTGTAACAACGGAGCACTTGACAGGTGCCAGACAGAGAAGAAAAGTGCAGTTTTCGATTGCATGGCGGCGGCATGATCTCCCGGCAGTTTTTCCTCCACATCGGTGATTGATTTGTATCTGAATTCCCCCCCCCAAAGCGTCAAAAACACGCAGACGTTTGTTCGCCCAAACCTACAGCAGTATCTACAGCATTTCTCTTTGAACAGGTAAGGTCTGTGTAAGTGTGTTTCATGTGCAGAGACTCGCTTTGAACACAGGACATTGTTATCCAGGAAGCATTCACCGCACAGACCTTGACTTCTACGACAAATGATGACATCCCACGTCAACACGCTATATTACGGGTAGACGTATCAACGCTGCCGTGGGCCATCAACCTTACTGTTGAGCAACACAGGGCACATCAAGCACGATGTCATACAACGGAACAGTTTTACCTCGTCGCATCCTTCATCCTGGAGTCCAGCTGGTGACTGGCAAACTCGAGATCATTTAGCGCGAGATCGAAATTAATCTCAAGCTGCTTGAGAATGTCGGTGCTTTCCAACGCCACCATTGCTGCCTGGTGTGAGCTCTTGCCTGGTGTGAGCTCTTCCGGAGCAATGCGATGGAATGGGTCCAACGGTATCTCCGTAGATGTGGGTTCCGCGAAAAGATGGGGGTACCACTGTGCCCAAAATCGAGTACATTCTGCGGCCTCCCCTGCCCCGGCGGCGGCGGCGCTGGTCAAGTGCGACAGCGGGAAAGACCAGGGAGAGGACGCAAAGCAACGAACACATTTACGTAGACGCCCAGAATTCGCAGCGATGTCGAGTGCCTCAAGATACTTCAAGACGGCCCCGTCGGACAGCCGGTTTCCCACGGTGAACCAGGCCAACCACTGCTGGTGAGAGACGAAGCGCCGGTGCACCGACTTGTGTCAACGAGTGAAACGTCCCCTCTCTCTGAGATGAGACATTCGGCACCCTCTCTACCATGGTGGCACGTGACTCTCTCCCACCCTCGTGGCTGGCGTTTGTGTTTGCCATTGGTTTTCTTTCACGAGACGTTGCCGCAAGCAGTGTTCAACGCACTCCCTGATGTTCCTGTGCATCACTGCTGTGCAGCATCATCATCACGACGAAAGTAGATGTGTAGTCGGGAGACCTGTTTTTTTTCATTATGTATGCGGGTGTGTGGCGAATCAAAGACACTTGCTTGGGGTAGCGTACAGCGGCTCGGTTAAAGGAAGTAGAGTTCTGTTGCGTTCACTTTGTTCTAGATGAGTTTCGTTGTTCACGATGAACATACCTTTTTGCATCTGTGCTATGTGCGGCAGCTGCGTTGTATGCTGTATGTTGTATGCTGTATGCATAGCTGAGGTGTTGTCTTGTGAGGACTCTCTGAAGGTGTGCGAGTGGCCATGCAACCCAACCATCCTGGTGTGCTGTACATACATGCCTCCATGCTGTGCATATGCACAGGTTTCGATGCAATCTCAGGAACTCTCCCAATTGATCGTTTCTCGGATGGTTCTGCCGCAGCGATACGACGTAAGTATGAAGCGCACGTTTTTTTTTGTCGGTGTTTCTGCCCCGTCGAGGCTCATCCTTGCAGGGAAGACACTTGTATTGCATGAAAGACGGACCCCACTGCGTTATGTTGAAGTACTTGTGCACACAACGGTGAATGCGGTGACATCGGCCGTATACGAAACACCTACAGAGAGAAAATACTTTGTCGGCCTTATTAGACCCATGTTTATGGTTTCCAAATCTTTATCTTCCTTTCTTTGGACAAATGTTGACTTTTTCGACCTTTTGGGCAGTCTGCCTCCCGAACGAATGCGAATCAGCTGTTCGACCTTTGAGAATAGTCACAGCTTTGCCTGAGATGTATACAGGCCGCCTATTTGTTTCGCCAGGGTCCACGTTTGAGTTTTTTTCCAGCAGAGCAAGATGTGCAAGATTCGGCCGAAAGACCACCTCGGAGCAAATCTTGGGCCAAGATCTGTCCAAAAGCTGGTGTTGGAAAAATCTTGCGTGAAAAATGCGCATCTTGCAAAAAATCAAACGTGGGCCCTGGCGAAACATATAGGCGATCTGTAGACATCTCAGGCAAAGCTGTGACTATTCTCAAAGGTCGAACAGCTGATTCGCATTCGTTCGGGAGGCAGACTGCCCAAAAGGTCGAAAAAGTCAACATTTGTCCAAAGAAAGGAAGATAAAGATTTGGAAACCATAAACATGGGCCTTACAGCTTGAAACGCGGCAACACCAAGGAATCCAAAAAATTCGATGCACCTTTTTTACCGACGGAACCACCCAACCAAGAGCGACCTAGCCCACACAACCTAGCACCTACCCACGTCAACACCAACCTAGCACCTATCCAAGCCATACCAACCTAGGTCGATCGCATAAACACCAACCTAGCACCTATCCAAGCAATACCAACCTAGAGATTATCCCATCAATACCAACCTAGAACTGAGCCACCCAACGTCAACCTAGCAACTATTGGGTGGGTTTGGAGTTCGGGTTCGGGTTAGCGTTAGGGATTGTAGCCGGTTTCATGTAAGTTGCTGCTTGGAGGGACAGAAAACTGCGCCTACATTTACCTGTAGTACAGCGACAGATGGAAGAAACAAGAAACACATATGCATACATGTCGTGACGCTCGTTCCTCACACAGGATTTCCGTCGGTAAAAAGGTGTGGGTGCATGGCTTATATGCGTCCCTGTGGGTGCATAATTTTTTTGGCCAAGGAGCGCATTCACACATGTTGTATGCATACACGAAGATAATAAAGAGTATGCAACCGCCGAGAATAATTCACCAGCTCCGCAGCAGTGTCGACTAAGTCTCTCACGTGGTGGGTCCCTGCCTGTGTGGGACAATCGCCCTCGTATTGGACGAGATTTTCCGATGGTGTCATTTTATTATTTCCTGAGACGAAAGCAAAGTTACCGTCTTCAACCCATATCCCTCCACCAAGACGTTGGAAACCCTGATATTAATGACGAACAGAGGGATCAAAGACGTTGGCAACCCTGACGAGCAGTGCGAGCTGCATCAACCCTTTACAACGCTAATGTCCATGACGAGCAGCAGGAGACAATCCTGATACCCATGTCGAGCAGCGGGAGCTCCAGCGAAACGTTAACGTTTACAACGCTGATGTCCATGACGAGCAACACCGTGCGCGTCATACAAGTGAGCGTTGTAGAGCAACGTTGAAAGGTGTTGCTGGAGCTCCCGCTGCTTGTCATGGATATCAGGGTTGCCAACGTCTTGCTGGAGGGGTGGGTTAGAGACGGCAATTTCGATCTCGTCTCAAGTACTAAAACCTTTGACGACATGACAGGAAAAGTGTCGTCTAGTGCATGGGCGGTTGTCCCACACAGGCAGACCCACTGTGGGACAGACTTGTCGACACTCGTGCAGCTGAGTGGTAGGACTTGAGTTGAGGCCGGGTCACGGCGGCCTGTTACAGTACTCTTGACTGACATTGAGTATGCCAACACAGACTACTGTCTCCGCGCAGTTTGCAACACGTAGTGTCTACCCTACCAACAGTTTGAATTTTCTTATCGTTGTTGCCTATGAGTTTGGCAGGTCACCGTTTCAGCCACGGACCTTCAGCCGATGCGCCTCCGTGACGGGTCTAGCCGCCTCTAAGCACACCAATTACTTCGCGCACAATCACGGTTATGGTAAAAAATCTCGTGTGTTGCGTTGGCTTCCACAACCTGCTACACAATTTCCCCAGGAACCTGTACAACGAATGGGTGCTCTGCACCAAGAAGGCGGAAGAGGCGGGAGATGACGCCAAGAAGTGCTACCGCAAGAGGCACAACGCGCTCGCCCTCTGCCCAGACGAGTGGGTGAGTTTCTTTTCGATTCTCCTTCTTCGCCCCCGGGTATGTTTCGAAAAGTGGGCGTTTTCTGATGTTTTAATCGCGTTTTTACTCCCACTGCTGCTGGAAGAAGTATAGCTAGCGTCAAGAGAGGACCGCGTATTCCATCCAGCGAGACGGGGCGCACGGGCGGGGGGGAGGGGCGGGGGGAGCGTACTCAAGTTTTGCATGCCTTAGCGGTTAGGCCATTGACCGCGCGTCCTGGACAGGACAGAGCAAGGGAGGGGTATGATTTGAAGCCGTTCCAGGAAGTTATGGGCCACACAAGGGGAAGCTTAAGCTTTCAATTTCGACATGTGAGCGGAGTCGTGATTTTGGAGGAACAACAAACCTGTATTTTGAAGGCAGGGGCAACTGCAGTTCCGGCTGGGAACACGGAAGAAGCCGATCAGGAGTATATGCACCTCATACAGTGGTTGTGATGTTGAGAACGAATTCTTGTTGGCTTAATTTTGATGTGTGTTGTCCAAGACGATCCAAGAGCAGCTAAGCCCTACTCAAACGAATCGAAGCGTGGCGGTGGGACCTTGCTACGTAGGCACGCGTCCTCTCTTCGAGCTGCAGGGGTGTCGCCGGCGGCGATGTCACTAAATAATGGTGTTTCGTTTATTGTCTATCCTGCTCGGTTGTGCTACAATTTTTTGTCCGGCTTCGTAACTCAGCATCCCTCTGCCCTTCTGCACGTCGCCCCTCCTTTTCCATTGCGGTTTTGTGCTTGTGGGTTGCAACAATTGCAGACGGAGAAGTGGGACGAGGACCGGGACGAGGGAACGTACGCCGGCATCAAATAGGCTTGACGCACCGCACCGATGTAATGTAGCCTGACGAGCGGTTGGGTTGGTTGGGTGTTGGTGGTCTGTCAGCGAGAACGGATGGACATCGTGGACAACGTCACCGAAGGAAAAGGAAAGGCCAATGCCTTGGAGGGGGGGCGCGTGCGCTCTCTTTTCGTCTTTGCTTTTGTTCACGGGGAGGATGATGGGGCGTGTGGTTGTTTTTTCACACAACTGCTGGTATGTTATTTAGTCTGGCTGGTCGAAGTATGCAGGATGGCCGTTTGAGAGAGGAGGCTCGACAGCGGGGGGGTCGGCAGGGTGGGTGGCGATTATGTGCTTGATTACCTCCTGCTTGTTTTGGCTTCACTCAGAGGTGTCTAGAAACCGTACGCAAAATTGTTGCTTTCGTAATGGCGCTCTTGGGATTCAAAGACGTGTCAGACCCCTGTTGCCGCAATGAGCGCCTTGAAAGCGTGCTTGTTGCGGAGTGCGGCGTAATTTGGCGGCGCCACACAGCTGGTGTGCCAACAGTAAGAAACTGAAGGAAGAAAAATCAGGACGACGGTCGATGACTGCAACATTTTGTTTCTTCCACCCATGCCATCAAAACGCCATACTACAGCATGCATGGTGCTTTCTGTTTCGACTTCGCTTCAAGCGTCGACAAACCTAGGTCGATTTTGTCGCTCCCGTGATGGCGCTCTTGGGATTCAATGACGCGAGAGACGCCGTTTGCCGCAATGAGCGACTTCAGAGCGTGCTTGTTGTGTGATGCGGCGCAATGTGACGGTGCCACACGGCTGGTGTGCCAACTGTAGGAAATGGAGTAAGAGACCTCAGGACGACTACCAATGACTGCATTTTCGGTTCTAGTTCTTTTGTTCATGAAAACGTCAGGCATGCAGCATGCGTTCGTGCTTTCATCGCTGACACTCAGCCGACTCATGCGACACGCATTGGCCTTTTGCCACTTGAAAGGTCGGGCAGGGTATCAACGTGTCAACGCCGCTCGTGGCCAGCAAAATGATTCGTCACAAATGAAAATTGACACGAGAACCAATCAACGAGCAAGGGAGAGTCATCGATCGAACTCCCTTCGGCAGAAGCTACATGGGAGAACAAACACACGAATGTTGAGACAGGCTCTTATCTTTTATTTTTTTTTTCCATCGGTTGATGATTGGTCCATTTTGTTGCCACATCGATCTGCCCAACAACGTGAAAACCCGAATCGTCTACATTGTTACGCATACATACGCTAGTATAGTCTATAATACATACACATGGGTTGCGTCTACCAGGATGGGCTCGCTGACTCTCTACACCCATCCCCGGCTCCCGGTCGACAAACAAAACATGCACGTTCCGCACATTTTGAACAGAGAACCCAGCCAAACACCAACAATCGTGTCTACTTCTGCTGGATTGATGTGGTCATTACCGCCCCCTAGAACGCGTGGACCTATTCAAATTACCCAACCAGCGAGTTGTCCATCCACCCTTCCCGCAACGCAAAGCCGACGCGGCCGTTTCCTCGTTCCCAACCGGCCGCAATAGAGCGTGACACCTACGCACTTACTTCCAACAGATCGCCCACTTCTCCTTCACGCTACCTTGAAGGAAACGGAGGGCGGACGCGCTGCTGGTACGAAGGAGCACACACGCACATACAACACTTGGAGAACCTTTTCTGCTGCCTGCCGCTGCAGCAGCACCAAGCAAGTTAACCCGGTCACGAAAAATATGCAAGGAGGTGGGTATCGGGTCTAACCCAAGGGCGCGGCAATAACCTTTAGACTCATGGTTACCACTTACTAAGAGAACAAGTGTTTTACAATCGCATACTCATGTACCGACTCAATTGGACAGGCAGGCTTGATTTCCAAGATTTTTGTATCCAGGAACGGGGACGTCTCACACCGGAGAGCTCCACGAAGGACCGTGCTATTTCACGCAGTAAAACGCCAAACCGAAGAAGCACAACCACAAGCTTCCAACCCCTCGCGCCTAACGCACGCACGCATGGTACAGACACGCCATAAACACAACGACGCCCCGCCCGCAACACAAATAAATCTAACAGTGACAAAACCCAACCTCTCGACCACACGGGCTACGAAAGAAAACACAGCCCGAACAAACCAACCTTCTGCGTGCATTATTCTCGTTGAAGCGAGCCTAACAACAACAAGAGGCTAAAAGTACAGTAGTGAAATAGCATACGATGAGGACGTGGAGAATGACTGGCAAAAATGAAAAAAAAAAAAGCAACAGCACAAATTTTCTGCCAAACAAAACTTGTCGCAAACCCTGCTGATTACACCGGATGTAAACATCGGATTTGCCTAAATACTTACGACGACATGAGCGCGACTTCATTGCACGGTTCAAACCGGCGCCGGGCAGTAAAGTTTTGTGGTTGCACTGCACCCTCCATTCCTCATTGTATACATGAGAACTACAACAACCGAGAGACACGGAACCACTCAATCAAACGACCCATCCATGCCGAAAAATAGGCTCGTCACACACAGAACGAGCGGAAAGGGGTCCGACGTATAGCTAATGCTGTATACTTCCACGCGCCATTGCATGAAGCGAACCAGAAAATTGAGGGACGACGATGCAACAACAAAAATAAATGCCAAACGTAAAAAATGGTGCAACGGAAGCTGTGTATGTACACAGGAAGATGCTTGGATCGTTCCCAGAAAAAAGGAGGAAACGACAAAGAACAACCAAACTCGATCCGACAAACTCCTTTCACCAGGCACCCACCCACCCACCTCTAGCAGTGAGCATGACTTTTTGTTGGGCAAGCAAACATACTCGCAGCTTGCTTGTGTAGTCGGAAAAGTGCTGTGTGTGATGTTGCACAGAAAGGAGGGCCGGACGAAGAAAGACGAAACTAAAAACAGCCATGCATCACGAGTACATGTAGGCAAACTTGATCTGAACTGCTGTTGATTTAGCAACGACTTTCTTACACTACGTATATTTCTGTGTTCCAAGGTTCCATCGCGATTCTTCCCGATAACGCGTTCCACGATCTGTCTTGTGTGCCCACACGCACAACACGGGTTCTACCTACATTTATTTATCAACACATGCATCCACATAAGCAGTCGCAAGAAACTCCAACATGTGTTACAATCGAAAACCGAGAATCTTCGTCTGGTAGCTTCACTCCACCCCGTACTGCACGTCCCTAGCTTCGCAGTGCTGCGGCACGCCCATCCTCTTGGCCCTACCGAAGACGTTCGCAACGTAGTCCCCAAGGAAGGCCACCTTATCGTGGAAATCCTCCGCACCCCCCCACCTCCTGCCGCTACCGCCGCCATTGCTGCTAGCGCTGCTGCCCCCGCCGAACATGCCGCGACCACCGCTGTCACTCGAACCCGCCTCCGCCACCACCGGCGCAGGAGCGGGCTTCCCGAGGAGGGGAGCGGGCCCCCGGTTTTCGCTCTGCCAGGCTGCCCACTTCTGCTCCAGGGTTTCCCGTGTGTGGCCGTTTTCTCGGCCCCCCGGCGCCGACAACGGGGCGGCCCGCGGCGCCGCCGGTGCCCCTCCTTCCGAGGTGTGCTCGCCGGTAGGCGTGATGGCGGCGGCGGTGGCGGCGGTAGCAATCAGGAGCTTGTTGCTGTGGAGGCGGAAAGGAGTAGGAGTAGAGGCGGCGGTAGCGGCAGATCCCATCTCGGGCAGGAGCGGCATCGGAGTAATAGCCCTGCTGGCAGTCGGTATGCCGTTGACCGAGCTGAACGGTCCGCTCCCGCCGCCCGTGCGAGGGCGCCGGCAGTGCTCGGCGATGCTGCTGCTGGTGGCGTTCGAGCCCAGCGCCGCCAGGGACGGCGGCGGGGGCGACGAGGGCTCGCCGAAGGACAGGATGGCTCTGCGTCTCGCCTCTATGATCCGCAGGGTGGCGAGGTTATCCCGCCTCTGTTGGTGCTGGGCAACGGGAGGAGGACTTCTTCCTCT